ATCCTCCATGGAATGTTGTTGGCAAAAGTGACTACTGTTCTAGCCTTTCAAAAATAAAGTTACATGGCCTCACCCAATGGGGACTCTGATAGAGCTCGACTGCCTATTTCCAGGATGTGAGAGAAAACTGCTGTCAGATCTCAAATGCCAGTGCCTTCTCACTCCAGGACGAGAGGGACTGAAATTTGACTGGATTCTTAATCATTTTGGCTTCTTGCACAGCAAATATTATGCTTCAAAATGACTCAGTCAGTCAGAGAAAAGTTAACTAACTGAAAAACAGAACCTAACCACTTAAAAATACATGCTAAGGCATCTGCTTTCCAGGCTGCATTATGGGTTTTGTGTTTTTTTTTCTCTAATGCTGTGGTTTGTGCTTGCTGAAAGTGAGGATGACTTAAGGCACCTACTGATGAAGGTTGAAGAATACAGTCTGCAGTATGGATTACGTCTCAATATAAAGAAAACAAAAATCCTCACAACTGGACCGATGAGCAGCATCACAATAAATGGAAAGAAGATTGAGGTTGTCAAAGAATTCACGTTGCTTGGTTCTACAATCGATGCCCATGGAAGCAGCAGTCAGGACATTAGACGATGTGTAGCATTGGAAAAGTCAACTGCGAAGGAACTGTATCAAGTGCTGAGGAGCAAGGATATCTCCTTGAGGACTAAGGTGCGCCTGACACAAGCCATGATATTTCCAATCGCCTGGTATGCATGTGAGAGCTGGACAATGAATAAGGAAGACCGAAGAAGAGTTCATGCTTTTGAGTTGTGGTGCTGGTGAAGAATGCTGAAAGTACCATGGACTGCAAAAAGAACTAACAGATCTGTCCTGGAGGAAGTGCAGCCAGAATGCTCCTTGGTTTCACCTATTTTGGTCATGTTGTCAGAAGGGACCATTACCTGGAGAAGGATGTCATGCTTGGTAGGGTGGAGGGTCAACGAAAGAGGGGGAGGCCTTCAACGAGATGGATTGACACGGTGGCTGCAATGATGGGCTCAAGTATAGCAGGGATTGTGGGGCTGGCGCGGGATCGGGCAGTGTTTCGTTCTGCTGTGCATGGGGTCACTATGAGTTGGAAACGACTCGACGGCACTTAACAACAACAACAATGCTGTGGAGTAAATTAGTTATATATGACTCCCCTTCTTAAAAGGGGTTAAGCTGTTCTTAAAACAACAACAAAAAAAAACAACAATCTGAAATTTTGATAGTCATATTTCTAAGGGTAAAATTTGTGTGAGGGGTTTAAGAGAAAAGCTTTTGGTCATTCAGTGATTCCAGGCCAACGACAGTGGATTGCTACAGAAGGCTATGGGCAGTTACCAAGGGCTGGTCAGCCTGGACCCTGAAAAACAACACAGGGAGGAAATGACTGGAGCCCTCAGCAGTCAGCAGGCCATGGCCAAGGCCAGTTCAACCTCCACATTGACATCTTTGGGACCGTTTTCTGCAGGGCTCTTTTGACCTGCTATTTCATCCTCACCTAGAAGAGCCAGGGTCACCCCAGCCTATTCCAGTAGAAGCACATTTTTATATGGAGAGAAATATGGTATTTTAATGCAAATAGTGCACTTTGTACAACCCCCTCACAAGGTAGATTCTCATTCATGCTATGCACATTATATGCATATGCACATTATTTATGTTGGTGTATTGTATGTGAAAAATACGGTGGTCTGTTTCCCACAGGAAGTGATAAGTTTCAGTCCTGGGGAGTTCCTATGCCCCCAAACCCCCTACGTTTAGAAATTGCTGCCTGTCCTTAAGAGGTATTCTCGGGGGGAGGGGATTTATTGTACTGGGTGTCACAGTCAACCATTCTGAAGGTCCTTTGAATTGCATAAGGCATCTTTCAGACCACAGGCACCCCCATTGTTCTACCTATGGGACATTCTCTTCCTAGGAGGCTGGATCATCCTAAAGGAGGGAGAGGGACCGTCAGGTGAGGTGGGCTCACAATTAGGAGAGTGTGACAGAGAACTTTACACAGGCGTCATCGTTTCCTTCAGCTCATCTAGCTCTCAGCACCCACTGCTGCCCAGGAAGAGGTGCAGTCCATGATCTCATTTCACAATTGCATCATGAGATTCTAATAGAAAGGCAAGGGTAATGGTTTCCCTGGAGTATACCAAAGCCAAGCCCATTGCCTTTGAGCCAATTCCAACTCATGGCAACTCCACGTGTTATGAAGTAGAACTGTTCCATGGGGCTTTCTTGACTGTGAACTTACTGCAGCACATCACCAGGTACTTCTTAGGCAGCCCCACTGGGGGGGTGGTTTGAACTGCCAACCCTTTGGTTAGTAGTCAAGTGCAAGCCATCCCCTTCACTTTCTATCCCACTACCCTGTTCCATTTTGTTTATCCCCATCTAAACTATCCTGTTTCTTTGTTTATTGCCTCACTACCAAGGCACTTGTCTGGCTTCATCTTTGCAGAACACTTTGTGCCTAGAACACAAATAAAAAAAATAAATCCACTGCCATTGAGTTGATTCCAACTCATAATGACCCCCATTGGCACACATTGGGTGCTTAATTAATATTCAGAGAATGATTATAGTAAGATGATGTAATTTATCCAAAGATCCATAAATATATGGGAATGGAATAGCTCCCAGATGGGACTAATCACATTTCGACGGGCAGCATTTTAGAGCTTTTCAGATCTTATTAGACTATTTAGGCAGGAAGGATAAAGGGCCACCTAGGTTAGGAGTAGGAGACTTGGTAGTGCAGTGGCTAAAGCACTTGGCTGCTAACAGGAAGGTCAGTGGTTTGAACCCACCAGTTGCTCTGCTGGAGAAAGATGTTGTAGTCTGGTTCTGTAAAGGCTTACAGCCTTGGAAACCCTATGGGATAGTTCTATTTTGACCTATAGGGTCTCTATGATTTAGAATCGACTCCACGACAGTGGGTTTTGTTTAAGGAATGAGTAATGCCTTTTGTCTTTTTCCTTTAGCCAAGCTTTATCAAACCCAGGAGCTGCAGCAGGGATGGCAGTGGGTGGGGCCGGCCATAGTAACAAGAGTCCTTCCTAACAGAACCTTTTCAGAGGTCTCTCATCTTTAATTATCACATCACATCACTTAATCTTTCAAAAAAAAAACAAACTCACTGCCCTGGAGTTGATCCGGCTCCCAACGAGCCCTCCTTGGGTTTCTGAAGTGGTTGGTGTCTCTACGGCAGTAGATTGCCCAGTCTTCTACCTTTGTTGTTGTTGTTATGTGCCATCGAATTGGATCCAACTCGTAGGGACCCCTCCTTGGGTTTCTGAGGCAGTATCACTACGGAAGTAGATTGCCCCATCTTCCTCCCAAGGAGTGGCTGGGGGGTTTGAACCGCCAACCTTCTGTTTAGCAGTCAAGTACCTTAGGCAATACGCTACCAGAGGTCCTCTTCTACCTTTAGCATTTGTAAAATGGTAACCAAATGTGCCCACAAGTCATATGATTTTGTTTCCCAAAATGTTCTAACTTTAATCGTTTTGAAGACCTTTAAATAAATATGTTTTGTATTTGAAAGGAGTTTATTTGCTGTGTAGAGCAATCTGTAAGCACATTTATATTAACAATAGACTCAAAGCTAGAAAATCCTAGGAATCCTTTAAATCTAGGGCCCCAGGAGGATGGGCAGTGGAGTTTTACGAAGACCACGATCTGGCATCGCAGCCCCTGGTGGTGCAAATGGTTGGTGGACTGGACTACTAATGGAGGCTGGGGGTTCGAGTCCAACCTGAGGGACCTCGTAAGAAAAGCCTGGTGATCTGCTTCCCAAATATTAAAAACAAAACAAAAAACTCACTGCTGTCAAGTTGGATCCTACTCATAACGACCCCTCCTTGGCTTTCCAAGGTGGTATCACTATGGAAGTAGATTGCCCAACCTTTGTTCCGAGGAGTGGCTGGCCATTGGAAACTCTATGGAGCACACTTCTACTCTGACCCACAGAGGAGCGCCACAGATTGCACCCAACTGGACAGCAACTATTTGGTTTATCTGGCATGAGGCGCCCTGCCTATTTAAGTGCTTGGGAATTGAATTGTCTGTAGTTGCCCAAGCCCTGCGCCCTGCCAAACAGTTCCAGAGCCTGGCCTGTGGGAGTTGGCCAGGGCACATTCTGCTGCCCTCCGAAGCCCTTGCTGGCACCCTTAACTCTGTGCTGCAGCTCAACTCTCTTCCTTTTGATCAGCAAATCACATTTCAGCTCTAACTGAATCCCACAGAGAATGGAGCTCCAGAACTATAACTTGGTTGCTCCTCAGAGCCCCAGAAATCTCTTCTCTGAAGCCTCTAAGAAGTCTTTATAGATGAAGCACTTACCGTATACATTTGTTGTACAGAACCAGGTCAAAACCAAAACCAAACCCACTGTTATCAAGTCAATTCCAACTTTTGGCGACCCCCATAGAGTTTCTAAGGCTATAAATCATTACAGAAGCAGGCTGCCTCATCTTTCTCCCATGGGGCAGCTGGTGAGTTCAAACCTGCAGCGTTTTGGTTAGCAGCCCAATACCTTAACCACAGTGCCACCAGAGCTACTTACAGAACAGGGTAGAGAAGTGGCAGGGTGGCAGGGTCACCTTTCACAGGAGAAACACAGTACATTGTGAGGGGTGTTGGTCATGTGAGAGAACTTTACCTTTGTGTGACTTTAAAAAAAAATCTCATAGAAGAATCTAAAATTATGTTCTTATAGAAAAAAATCAGAATAATGTTTGGTAACCAAATGGGTCGGTGGAAAGGCCTAGCTTGTCCATAGAACGTTTTCCCCTGAAATGTTTCTGTATATAATTGTTTGTTGTTGTCCCTCCTGCAGATGCCATAGATTCAGTGGGTGTTACATTCCCACTTTTTTAAAAATGTGGCTTCGTGTCTAAAGGAGCCACTTTGGTGTCATTTTGTAGACCACACCAAAGCAGTCTTGGAGCCGTGTGGGCTGAGGTTTTCCTGTGGGTGGCCTGACCCTTGATTTTTGCCTCATTAAAAGCAGGGGACGTCCCAAGAGAAGGAGGAGAGCAGTGCCGAGCTGGCAGCCACGCGGAGCCCCGAGGTCCAGGAGTGGCTGAGCCAGGCGCGCCCCACGCGGACTCACCAGCGGCAGAGCAGTCTGCAGCAGCAGAAGGTGAAGTGCTCCCCACTCCTCACTGGTCCCCAGAGTTGCAAGGCGAGAAACCTGAGAGACGATTTAGAAGGACACGTTGTTTCTGTCCTAATGGCAGACACAGTGAGCCTTTACTTTCCAAGTCTTTGGATGGAAACGAGACCAGGTTGTTTCTCTGTACATCTGTGTGACCATAGGGATCAGTGCTTGTTTTAAAATTCTTGCCTTTAAGAAAAGCTTGTGTTTAGGTTCAATTATAATCTCTCTTATCATAGATTCTCCCTCCGTGTTCACGTTCGTCCCTATTAGCATCTATTGCATTATGATACAGCCTCCCTGGCAACACTAATTTAGAAGGAAAGCCTCAAAGAATTATATGTGGGTTGTTTTTTCCCCAAATAAATACGTTTCCTTATTATAATAAATCTTTCTGACTGGACTGTTTAGAAACAAGGCCTCTGAGAATTGATAAAAGTCTGAATTTTATGTTTCTTAAATAAATGTAGGGTTTTTTTCATTTTAAGTTATATATCATCACAAAACAGAGTTGTAAATTGTTGCTTTGTAAAAAAAGATTGGATGAATACGAATGAATTCTCATTGATAAATTGACTTTTATGTTAAAAAAAAAAAAAAAACCTCACTGCCATGGAGTTGATTCCGACCTATTGGGACCCCTCCTTGGGTTTCTGAGGCAGTATATCTATGGAAGTAGATTGCCCAACCTTCCTTCTGAGGAGTGGCTGGTGGGTTTGAACTGCCAGACTTCTGGTTAGCAGTCAAATGACTTAGCCACTATGTGAACAAAGCATGTTAAAATATTGTATCTCCTCAAGGAGTGAAAATATTGATTATAACTAATAGCAAAGTAAAATCTAGTCGATTTATAGTTGAATTTATCATGTTAGTGAAAAATTAAAAAGAATTTCTTTTCCCAAGAATCCATCTATCCTGGCTGAAACAAGACAGTATCGATGTAGTAAAGTGAAAGTGCATTTTATACCACTTGAGGGTGCCATTGTCCAGCAAATTTTTCTTCATTCGTCTAGACCAACAGATTTTTCAGAGATTGTTTATGAAAACTAAAGCGTAGTACCAAAGGCACTTGACTGCTAACCAGAAGGCTGGTGGTTCAAACCCACCAGCCACTCCTCGGAAGGAAGACTGGACAATCTACTTCCATAGTGATACCGCCTCAGAAACCTAAGGAGGGGTCGCTATGAGTCAGTCCGACTCATAGCAACAACAACAACAACAAAGTGAGTTGCAGGCTCCATTGGAAACGTGTGAAAAATATAAACCATATCTTTTATGCAAACTTAAAAACTGACAGCCAAAGGTCTCTGAGAATATTCTAGACCTAGAATATTCTCGACCTAGAATCATGATAAGGAGCTATTGTGGTGAAGTAGTTAAGGCATTTGGCTGCTAACCAAAAGGTCGGTAGTTTGAACCCACCAGCTGCTCCATGGAAGAAAGATGAGGCAGTCTGCTTCTGTAAAGATTTATAGGCTTGGAAACCCAATGGGGGTCACTATGAGTCAGGATCAACTTGATGGCAGTGAGTTTGTGTTTTTGGGTTTGAGACTCATGATGGTGGGTAACTATCCTAGAGTAACAAAGATGTCTGCCTTTATGCTTTCGCTTGGGCAGGAGTTAGAACAGGAGCTAGCAGAGCAGAAGAGCCTGCTTCGATCAGTGGCCAGTCGTGGGGAAGAGATCCTCACACAGCATTCGGCTTCGGAGACTTCTGCTGGGTATGTTTCCTGACACTTGAACTTTGCCTTCTCTTCCTCATGTTCTCCTGATGTTTGAAAAAATGTTGGCATCACACGGAAATGTCTGTGCTGAACATCTCCTATAAAATAGAAGCAGTTTCATTTCTCTTTGAGATCAAAAATTTGCTTGTATTTTGACCATCTGCTTGCAATGCATGATATCACCAGTAGCTAACGTAGTAACGTGTTGGCCCTCCTACCAATATGCTCAGAAGATGGTCCTGAGTTCATTTTTTAAAATTAAATTAAGAAATGCATTATAAAATTAGGTCCATGGTGCTGTAAACTATTTGATTCTGTCTAACTGATATATATCTTGGTTGTCTTCTAATGTCCTTCTCAAAGAATAAGTGTATGTGTCCACCAGATATACCTTGTTTTCCTAATTATCTGCTTCTGTGATTTCCACATGTGAAGTCACTAAGCTTTTTGAGTCCTGGTTTAAAGTGAAAATTTTGGAAGACTTGTACACATCACAGTGAAATGTCAACAGATAGGTTAAGGAAGCTGGGAAGGCTTTCAGGTTGAGGGTTCTGAATCAGTAGGTATGAAAGCAAAGGAACGGATGCTCAGTGGAGGTATCTCTACATTTGAAGTCATGCCTGTTTTTTTCTTTTTTTTCCCAGCCCCACAGCTATAACCTTGGAAAAGTCATTCATCTCTTGAGTGTCAGTTTGCTCCTCTGTAGAATTAGAATACT